ATATTATGCCTCTAAAATATTGTTAAATTTCATCGTCATTAAAGGTGATATTCACTAATAATCCTTCTTACTGATTCAGACTGTAATAAAATCTTAATTACTTTTACAATATGTTGGATATTTCTTGTTGAAATACACACGGGATACCTACGAACTGAAGTATATTAGACAAATACAATATATATATATATATATATATATATATATATATAAAATCAGAAATAAATTACAACTGTAAAACAAAATTAAAACAGAAATATTTTAAGCCGAGGCGAGTAAAACTCTTTCCGCAAGAAGAATACGCCCCGTGTGGCTGCTAATGGTTCAGACATAACTTCGCAAAAAATACAACGGCAAACGTCTCTAAATCTGTAGCACACCAGATTTACGAGTTCCGGCGAATTTGATCGTAGTAGAAAATTGTGCACTTAAAAATATGAATAAGAATATCTCTCTTTTGTTATTTTGATAACAAATAAATATTTTTATATTTTTATTGTTTCTATTTCTCCTCTCTATTTCCTTCCCCTCTTTCTGCTGTGTTTTTTTTCTTCTCATTTGTGTAATTATCATCAAATGAGTTGATGAGTATTTATAGATGAAAATTGGTTTGGGGATTGGGATTTTGGTAATTGTAATTGAAAAATTTGGCAATTTGTTCACCAAATATAATTTCTTCACGCATGCATTCCCTATCAGATCAATTGGCAGCTGGGAAAGTTGAGAAATCAATATCAAATGGGACCAATATTTATAATACACTCAAATATTCCAACACAATATTTATTATTTAACTGAGTATTCTGGAATTAAAATGGTATAAATCATTCTTATTTAGTTATCTATTGGGCATATAACCGATTTTGGTTCTTTGTTTCGGGCCCATGCACGGTAATAAAGAATTCCCCCTTGTGAGCATTAACCTTAGCTATTTTTTCTTTACGGTGATTAAATTACTTGATAGTTACTTGTGTGTAGTTAGAAAATTGCTAAAAGAGTCCAACAGAATACTATAACAATGTCGTGGTTATTCAATAATAATGCACCAATCTAAGAAGTTATAAGTACTTTGCACTTAATCATTGGATATTTTTGTTTTGTAACAGGACCGTCCAATCATGAGAATCTTGGTTAAATTACAAGTTAATCACCGAACGGGCTTTGATCATAGTCAGCAAACACCTGATAGTAACTAGATTAAGAGAAACATTTGGGTCAATTCTTAAAAGCAAATGAGGCATGGATTAAGAGAAATACCTGGGTCAGTCCGTAAATTAATCAAACCGATTTGATAAGATTAGACATGTCCACGGGTCGAACCGGCCCGGACCCGGACCGAACCCGGCCCGGCCCGAACCGGACCCGGCCCGGAGAAGCCGGTTTTCAAACCGGAACCGGACATCTAAAGGGCCGGTCCCGGGCCTTTTCGGTCAAAAAAAAACCCGGCGGGCCGGGCCCCGGTCCGGGCCGGGCCGACCGTTGGACCCGGAGGGTCGGGCCGGGTTACGGGTTCAAGACTCAGAATTCAAAAAAAATAAAAATTTAACAGGGCCGACCGTTGGACCCGGCGGGCCGGGCCGGGTTCCGGGTTCAACGGTCGAAATTCAAAAAAAAAAAAAAAAAAAAA